CCCCCCCCCCCCCCCCCCCCCCCCAAAAAAAAAAAAAACCTAAACCCTAAACCCGAAACCCTAAACTCTAAACCCTAAACCCTAAACCCTGACTCCTGAATCCACTCTGCCCAACTGCGCGAGGCCCCGACCTTCTGGGGCCAGTGCGCTCTACGCCGCAGAGCACTGCTGTGTCGAGGCTCCCAAGATCTCCGGAGGGGGTGACTTCTAATGTAGGGGTCTAAATAACTACCTATATTATTTTTGGGGGGTTCCTGATTATAAGTATAGTATATAATACCCCCAAAACCCTATTCTAATTATTACGGGTGTGGAGCAGGAATGTGTCGCCTGAGAAAGGTTCTGATAGCTGCTTGTTTTCAGCCAGCAGAGCTGTGAAGGGGATCGTCAAGAACTTTTTGCCGCAGGTGCTTCACCAAGATGTCGTCGTCCGCGCGCTCGAGATCTATCATGATCAACGAGGCACCCCTGCAGGGCAATTATGATCCAACGCATCAAGCCGGGTGTCGGCATTTTTGCGCTATGTTGGTTGGACCCTGCAAGTCATTGACTCCGCCATTCGTTCGTTCATGATAGCAAGTCTGCATGAATGCGTGGGTGCTGCAAACAAAACATGTCAGAGCACTGCATACATCGACATACATCGGAGTTATGTGCTTGTCAGTCGCTCGCTCTCTGTCTTTCTGTCTCTCTCTCTCTCTCTTCCCTCGCTCTCTCTCTCTCTCTCTCTCTCCTTCTCTGTCCTTCTGTCCCTCTCCTCATCAAGCGGAAATGTTCAGCAATATCATGCCGCGGACACGCCACGGAGCATCGGAGATATCTGCACCCGCCAAGGCAAAGTCCTCACTCTGGATCGCGAGGCAAAAGCTGCCGCTGGAATCTCGCCTCGAATGCCCTAATATTGGGGCCTCAATAATTGGAACAGGGTTTTAGGGCCCATTATACTATTATACTTACAATAAGGAACCCCCAAATAATGTTGGTAGTTATTGAGGCCCGTATCTTAAATCAAGCCCTTGCGAACTGCCTTCTTGGACTTTTGCCGCCGTGATTTGCAAGATCTGTGCCTGTACGGCTTAGGACTCCGACCTTGAGGTTGGGTTTGTCGGAGTATTCCGGGTTTTCCGCCAGGCATCCGATGGAGACAAGTTCAGGTAAGGAACTTGCAGAACGGACCTCTGTCACACGGGCCTTTGACCCGTTCTGCTCGATAAGGAGCGAAGGCCATGGACTTTGTTGAGATTGTCGCGAGTTCGCGAATCTTTTCTGACATGCGGCTTGGAGCATAATAAGCAACAGGTCCAGAAGTTTCGGGCTTACAACATGCTCTTAGGCTTCTTTGCACGCTTCCGGTCAGTGCGCGCTTCAGACGGGCGTTTTTCTTCGGGAGTTCAGTTCTGCCTGTGAGACTTCAGCCCTACATCTCAGGTCCCATGCTTTCGTGCAAGAACTGGCGGCTTCTGCCATCGATCGCATATTCATGCCAGGACACGGTCCGGTCTGTTGGCTCTCAATTGCTATCCAAAGATCTGCAGCACAACGCCAATGGCCCCGCCTGAAACTGCCTCTGCTGGTCATTGGAAATCGGATGACAAGTCCAGGACTAGGACGTCTAGGCTCAATAATGACAACAAGACGAAGTCCGTCACTTTGTGGAAGGAGACGTGGTGATGCACCAGGGCGCCGTTGAATTCTCCATGTTTATCTTAGTGACAGGCGCTGACACTGGAACTGCACTGTCAAGTGGTTTATTTGCTTGGCGGTGGGGTGTGAGGATTTGCAGCTGTTGCTGTTGTTGTTGTTGTTGTTGTTGTTGTTGTTGTTGTTGTCGTTGTTGTTGTTGTTGTTGTTGTTGCCGTTGTTTCTCTTCTTCTGAAGTCACAGTTCACAATTGCTGCGCACATTCAGGCTTCAATCCTTCTCATTGCGGTCTTTTGCGAACTACCTATTGTGGAAGACTTTGGCTCTGCGACTCAGAATCAGATTTGTTTTCTGGTGTTGATAGTGCAACAGGCGGTTGTTCTCGCGTCAAGCCGGCAAGCCCCGCTTGATCCAACTTGCGACTCCATGTGCGAGTCACCATATGACCACCGTGATGAGACTGTTGTGTCTTGTTGGTCTGAAAATGCGGCGGCTCGTGTTCGGTGAGCTCTGTCCATGCACTTAGCTGCTGGGTTCAAGAATAAGAAGGATGTTGAACAGGGACTGGCTTTAGCAATGTAGCAAAGACAGCGGCTGGCGGTTCTTGGGATTTGACGATTTGCCAGCTTGTTTTAAGAGCGAAACATGAATGGATACCCACCCGGACCTGCAGCTCCCCGAAATATCGGGAAGCTGTCGCTGGTACCTTCTCTGCAGACCTGTGACAGGCACCGCCGACGTGTTCGTGAGCGATGTGTCTAAGTCAGATGACCCGCACGGGCCCGAGAACTGAGCTTCACAAGTCGAGGACTACCGCCCTTTACTCGGTCTTGTCTCAAATCAAGATGCGCCTAGCCGTAACATGCTTCAGATGTGCAACCGATGCGTTGGCGAGTGAGGGATGTGCTGTCTCGAAAGAGGTGAACCTATAAGCATGGACTCTTCCTACCTGCAGCCTTGTAAGGTACACCGGGGCGAAGGAGCGGAGTCCCGTGCGGCACGCGTGAGACCCAGGAAGGGTTGCTGAGGTGTTGCAGGGTCGAGTGCAGCGATCGAGCTTCTTCGGGCTGTGACGACACGAGTAGACCAAACGGTACTTTTGTGCCACTTGAGCAAAAGACAGTGCCTTGAGGCCAGAAGCATGAGCCGGGTTAGCCACCTCGCTCCCGGAGCGATCTGCAGCTCTGCCAGAAAGAGCAAACACTTCTTGGATTGTAGTAGATTATAGTATGTCAGAAGATGCTAGAACAGGCTATTAGAACATATTCGAAGGTATAAGAATTAGAAATGTTAACACATATCAGGATGCACACATTAGGCCACGTAGAACATTTGAACATGTTCGAATACATTAGAGCAAATTAGAATATCTCATATCATTACATATCATAAGCTAGTACAAAGGTTTGTTTCAAGATATCATAACGCAATATATTCTCATGTATGGTAAGATATCATAATGAATTTTACCATGTTGAAAACGGTCCTACGCTCGGTACCGAGGTGGCGAGCTTGCGATGCTTGGAATCACCCCCACAAGGTCGGCGGGCATCCGGTATAGGAAATCGACAGCTCCGGGTTTCTGGTCCCAGGTCGGCGACCATCAAAGCCTCCGCTCTCTGCATTTTCTGGGAAGTCACGCAGGCGCCTGACTTCTGACTAGCCTGGACAGTTCGAGGCCTTGGAAGGATGTTTTTGGTGTAGGCCCGGCAGAGGGCTATCTGTTGCGGGACCCTCCGCATGTGGCGTGAGTTGGCCTAGTACAAGCCGACCCAACCATTTGGTCCTAGATACTGCTTACTGTAGCTGCCTCCCTTATTTCAGGACAAAGCTATGGCCATTCTGGACCGATATCCTCAAGAGCGCGACCTTTTCGGGGCTGCCTTTCGTATGCAGGAGACATGACGGACCGGGCTGCACTTTGAGGAAGCTTATCTCACCAGAAAAATAACTGCTCAAATCTCTCATCCTTAGGTTATTGTCCACAACCTTGACATCAGCGTCCCCGGAAGGCCCGATCTGCAATCTGCAGTGCCACAAAGTTAAATCTAGACGCTGGACCTGCAGCTCTCTTCGCTTGTACAGGCTGCTCCAGCTACCATTGCTCCGAGCCTTCGACCGGAAGTTTCGCATGCTTCTGACGCCGCTGGCCTGCAAAACTAGTACATCTGAGCCTCGAAACCATAGTATCTCGTGGTATTGAGCAGCAGGCTTACAAAATGCCTTCTGCCCTATGTAGAAATGGCATTCAGCTGACAGCGAAGTTCCGACATGGAAGCTTGACGTGGACAAGGAAAGATCGTCGAAACGAAAACACTACCCGGACACTACCTTAGAGGTTTAGGGTTACCCAAAACCCTAAACCCCAAACCCTAAGCCGGTTTTCGAGGCTTTACTGCGAGCGGCATGCCTTCTTCCCAGACCAGCAGATCCTCAAGGAGGGCGAGGCCATTAAGACTGATAGTGCGCTGTCTCCCATGATGCCCCGATACCAAGCGAGCAGGAGTTGTGCCGTGTGTCGGTGCCAGGCTGGTGACAAGTGCTACATATTCAATCTTGGTCCAGCACGCCTCTCAAGGGTTGGGCGTGCTTCGACGGGGTGTGAAGTGTTTGCTCCCAGCTGCTGTTCACAAAGGCCATGCTGCAGAAAAAAGGCTTTACAGTCCCTCTGCAGCACCCAGAGAGGGCGTCATGCTCCGGGTTGCTCTTGTCGGCAGGTTCTTTTTTATTGTGTCCAGGCTGCCTTGTGTTTTGGGTCGCGACTCAAGCGTGCCTGTTTGCCACATGCTGCTCCTGGACGTGCGCCCCCGAGAGAGGCATCAACACCAGTCACAAGCAGCCACTTCAACCAAAGCACTGCCGGAGTGATCTGGTTTCAGCAGCTTTTTTGAGGTGAAGACCTTCTCGCCGGGGTCACACTTCGGCTGCGACCACATGCTGGGCATCAACAGGCACGAGTTGCCTTGACACGCTGGAACTCCCGCACAGTGGGGACATGTTTCCAGCATCTTCCCGGCACGTTTTCTGCATGTCGCATTGTCCCCATCTTTTGATGTTCGAGGTGTTCGCGGCTAGACAAATCAAAAGACACACCGCCGGTGCTTTGCTCACCTAGCTCAGAACAACAGCGAAGCTTTGCAAGAAATCGTTGGCATTCACAGGTTTGTCACTCTCCTTTAGTTCCTCCTTCCTCGGCGACCTGTCGAGTTGCTGCCCAGCCGAAGCCCCTCCAATGCAGGCTCTACTGTGGCTCGCTGATCGCCATGACGGTGTGCCACATCCTCGCCGTGTCCCGCAGCTCCTACCTGCTGGCCGGGGGACGTGAGAGTACACGGTTCTGTCATAAAGGGCCCAGGGCAATCTGGGGTTGGAACTCTGGTCTCAAATTTTTGAGGCTCGCGATCTTTGAGTGCTGGCTCTTGCCCCGGTAGCCGCCCACTTTACTTCCGTAATTGGTCTCATCTCATCCCTTCATACTTTGTGCTGCACGTACTTCCGTTTAAGTCTGCGTCGAAAACCCAAAAGCGGGACAACTCCTGGGCTTCGGGTGTCGCGAGCGGACCCTACGCCCAACACCCCAGAAGCCATACGTAACCTCGCAGCCGCTGCCTCAAAAACCCAGAACCCCGAATCCTATAAACAAAGTAGGGCCCTTGAACAATCCCAGCCCCAGGGTACCTTATATTTGGGGTCCTTATAATAGGGATCCTATTAATTAGGGTACTATATTAGGCTCCCCTATTTTCGGAAACCCCCTCCCATCCTCTTCGACCAACAGCCTTGAAGCGCCAGGCGCTCGAGCAGTATCCGTCGCAAAAGGCGAGCCAACAACTCCTCCGCCAGCAGCGGGTGGAAGCCAAAGAGCTTCGCCAGGCCATCCAGAGGACTCGAATTTTTGGATGCCAGATTTTTTTCGCTTTTGAGGGTACCTGAGGGTGTCAACAAAGGAAGCTACTTCTTGGCTCCTTTCTGTCGGAAAACTTTCCGTGATCACAACCGCCTTCAGGGAGCAGCAGCTTGTCCGTGTTTTGTGCCGCCATCCTCAGAGCTCAGCTGCAGGATCACGATCCGAAAGAGCATCTGGCAAAGATACCAAGGCCGAACCCCGCTGCGTGATCCAGCCAACACAATTTCACAGCTTCACAGGCGAGATCCACAAGGAGAAGAACATGTTCTTCCTCTCTGAGCATGTGGCTTGGTGAAGACTTTCTCGGTGCATGAGACAGAAGCCGCTAAAGTAGCGGCTGGCGGAACTGCTATTCGGGTAATTCTCTGAATTGGGGTCCTTGAGGTCTCCAAAATAGGTACGGCACCCTTATAAAGAGGACCCCAAGAGGGACCCTAGTTTTGAGAACCCTAAACCCTAAACCAACTACCCACATAATATAGGGGCCTAAATAATTACCTATACTTTCTTGGTGGCTCCTTATTATAAAAATACTAGTCAAATATACCCCAAAACCTTATTCTAATCATTAAGGCCCCTATACTATACTACAGCTTACCAGCTCCCGGCACAGCCTTCTCAGGACCTGGCTAAGCGATTCATGAAAGCCTGGTTCGAGACCGCAAAGGAGCTCAAAGCGAGAAGGCGCGCAGACTCCTGCCCGACTCGGCTTGCCATGGAAATCATTACAAAGTGACATAGTACATGCTATATTAGATCAGATAGTATATTATACCCTGTATGTTAAAAGATAGAGATAGATAGATAGATATATATATATATATACACACATATATATATAGACGTATATATTTTGTAAGGCTTCATGCTATATTAGATCAGATAGTATATTATACCCTGTATGTTAAAAGATAGAGATAGATAGATATATATATATATATACACACACACACATATATATATATATATATATATATATAGACGTATATATTTTGTAAGGCTTGGAGATCTTCTTGGGATGTGGCCTTAGCCCGGCTGAATCAGCTCTCGGAGGTCGGAGCGAAATCGCCGGAGGAAGGAGGTCGAGGCGACACTGCCGAATTGAAGTCTCAAGTGACAACCGAGGGTTTAGAGTGTAGGGTTTCAGGGTACCTCAAGTGACAACAGGGACTTTGGGTTTAGGGTTTAGGGTTTCAGGGTACATGCATGCATCGTGCTTGCATGCGGTCGCGTTAGAGCTTTTTAAACTTCGGAAAATACATGTGGCATCATTCCGGATGCTTGGCCTGAGCGCACGAGTC